TTAGTGACGCTGAATATTTTAATTGTACTTGGAATAATTTTCAGAACTATCAGAATTTTCATAATGTGCTGAATAAATTCAACATGCCTACAGACAAAATGGATTACAAAAAAATTTAAAAACTGCCCACAATCATATTGCGAAATATTTACTCCAAATACAATCAAATGTCAATTTACTGAATCATATGAAATGTGTAATATTTACTACCTATTAAGAGAAAATAAATTAGGTTCTAGCTAGCTGCCAGTTAGTTTTTAGTAGGATAACACTCCATATGAAAAATGTGATACTAGTAATTTTTGATTCCCAAATCTACCAAAAGCCAAACAGCTTAGTTCAATATACATATACACCTTTACTGACAGAATATCTTGCCTTTTATCAACCTACTTGCTTCCTAAATAACTTGTTCTTCCCACAGATGACTGCGACTACTTGCAAATAAGGGAAATTTTAAATCTTGACTTATCACTAATCATTTACAAAAGGTGTTCTGTAATTGTTTTTAATGATTTTTGTAAGTTTAAAATACACTAACACAACTTGAATTTTCAAGTCAGGCTTTTGTCTGAAAAAGTCAGTCCAATTTGATTAATGAAATGGATATTTGGATATTTTGCTTTATTTCATTATATGATGGACATGTATCATGAATTGAATGATTAAATCTGTGTTCCAAGGCTTTGATGAAACATACAATAAAAATATATTTACAGCACTAACTGTACCAAGATTATTATATCCAAAAAAGTGTTTTGAAAGCAATGGGTTGGATTTTCCCAACCCTTTATGAATATCCTGAATTAAACAAAGGTTTTCTAAGTTAAAGAGTAACAGGTAAACAATTAATAATCATTTTATAGTCTCGGTAGAGCCCTTTAGGTTTACATCCCCAAATATAAAAATTAGTAATTCTAAGTAAAAAAACACTTCTCAAAGGCTGCTTTCAAAATTCTGTTTTTAACAAAAATAAACGAGATACTAAACATGCTGTCAGCTGAAGAATGATTTATCATCACGGATGACAGATCACAATGCGATTTTTGTCATGGAAATTAAAGAACTGAGTAAAAGGCTTTTAGGTAAAGCAACTTCCATTCCTCTCTACGTAGGGGCTTTCAGTATTTAAACAGAAATGAAAGGGAAAGAATTGAAGCTGGACCCTCTTTCATTCTAGCAATGTCATATTAATCCAGATATATAAACTAATTGTAAAAACACTATCTCATTAAAGAATTTCCAAAAATTTTACATTTCATCTAACGTCAAAAAAGGTTAATATATCTTGATCCATTATGCAAATGACTAAATATAGAAGAAACTTAACACATCCTTAGGGTCACAATAAACAAACAGATCACCACTCAGTGTAGCCGTCACCTCCTGGGCTCAACCAATCCTCCTACCTCAGCCCCCCAAGTAGCTGGGACTACAGGCTTGTGCCACCACAACTGGCCTGTTTTTTTCTATTTTTTATAGAGACAGGGTTTCACCATGTTGCCCAAGCTAGTCTCGAACTTCTGAGCTCAAGCGATCCACCCACCTCAGCCTCCCAAAGTGCTAGCATTACAGTTGTGTGCCACTATGCTCAGCCATTTATCATTTTAAATGTATATACATTCGTTGCAAAGATGTATGGTAATATGATCAATGATTTTCAGGCATAAAAATATAGAGTAAAACCTGATGACAACAAGCTACAAGATAAAAACTGGATGTAGTGACATTGGTTCCTATACTTCAGCCCAGAGCCTGCGCTCAAATACAGGAGTTGAAAGCTGTAAGCTACTCTGAGGATGGCAGGTGGTGATGGTGGCAGCGCGAGTGACTGCCGTGTCACCATAAGGAATTTCTAAGTTTAGTGAATGGTAAGTTAGTGATGGTGAAACAATAAGCTTCACCATCTTATTTCTGTATCTTTGTACAACAGTACAAACTAAAATATTTGTTTCATTTTCTTCCAATAATATGACCCCAAGTTTTCACAACTCAATTTTTTGGGGTCCTACCTAGGCATTGTGGTGGAGTTTTGCTGTACAGTAGCACTCCCTTATCCACAGGGAATACTTTCCAAGACCCCCAGGATGCCAGAAACCATGGATAATACCAAACCTGCTGTTTTTTCCTGTACTTATCTATGATAAAGTTTATAAATCAGGAACAGTAAGAGATTAACAGCAAAAACTAATAAAAATAGAAGTTATAACAATATACTGCAATACAAGTATGAATGTGATCTCTCTCAACATACATTATTGTTACTGCATTTTGGATAACTGAACCATGGATAACAGGGGACAACTGTATTACATTAGAATAAAATCTGTGGGAGAACGGCAACAAAAATACAAGTTCAAGGAGAAAAAGGAATTTTAAAAACCTTCATGTATTTTCTATGTAGATAATGGTACTAAATTTCTATGGTATGTAGACTACACCGATTATATAATGAAGCATGTTTTGTTTTAAAATACCAGTAATTATACTATGCTGGATATTGTATCTTTTGCCAATATTTAAACTTAGGAACAGCTTTAAATGTGCAAATAGATTCAGTTTCTTTTTCAAACAATTTTTTTTTAAGTATTAGGGAGTTTGTGCAAAAGAGTGAAAAATCACTGCTCAACACAGAGGAAAGGCAAGCAATGACCTTTTTCAAGGCCAAAGATACAGCAGATTTTTTTTTTTAATCAGCAACATACAGACTGAACTACCAGGAAGGCCAGCTTAACATCTGTTTGCTTTTCCTGGCACCTAGAGGGAAAGTCAAGCACAGACAGGGATTAAACATTTCTACTCTTGAGGCAGAGCCTCTAAAGATTTATTTATGGTGCACAGTCACAGAGAAGGGGATGACTCATATCTGTAACTCTGCCAAAGCAGCAACTCACTCATCACAGCAGTCAGAACTTAAGCTATCTTTTGCAATTTCAGAACAGGAACTAACCTTAGAGGATATATTTTACCATCACTAATTATTTTTAACTAAGCATCCATTGCGTCTTAGGTTCTTGGGATACAAGTAAGAACCTGTGCCTGAATAATTTACACTCTTGTTGGGGAAACAGAAAAACCAACAACACAGTAAATGTGAATCTCTGTAGCATAAATGAAGGGCCCAGTGAGTATAACAAAAGTGCAATGAACCAATAGAGGGAGTTGTTGCCAAAGGTCTGGGTCATCTGGGAAGGAGAAGGCTGAAATCAAAGCAGGTCTTTAACAAAACAGAATCAAGGGAGTAAGACTGATGGGCTAACTTCCTGGGGACAGAAGTAAGACAGTGCACATGTGACGCAATGCGAGTAATGACAGTGAGGAAAGTTAACTACTACTCCAGAGCAGATGGCTACTATAAAAATTGTAAGATAGAAATCAGACTGTGGAAGGTCTTATATGCCAACAGAGAGCTGAGTTTTATCCCATGAGAAATGTGAGTTTCTGAGATCAGTGTGCAAAACAACATTTTAGGAAGGTTTTTTAAGAGACAGCAAGAGAGAAGTCGGTTAAATTTTAGCAATAGTCTGCGTAGCTATGATGGGAACAGAGGCTGGGGTGAGGATAAAGTAACTGGAAAATAAAGGACATTGTTAAAAGGGGAAAGGAGGGACAATGAGTTTCATGGTTTCAATCATATGTGACTGCAATAATCATGATCCCACCAAGAAAAATAAATCCAATGGGAAAACAGGTCTATGTTCGAAGGTGCAGAGTCAGCAAGCAAGAATGGACACTTGAAGTGGAAGGCTCAACCTCTGCCATCTTTCAATCTGCCATCACTAGTGATGGTGTGCCACACTGCACTAGCAAGCAGAAAATCATAAGCTTTCTCCTTTTTTGTCCTTTTATTCAATTAAATAGGGGAAAAAAGGACTTGTATTCTAAACTTGTTCGTGATCACACTATATACAGGCATACCTCAGAGATACTGCAGGTTCCGTTCCAGACCCCTGCAATAAAGGGAGTATCACAATAAAGCAACTCACACAAATGTTTTGGCTCCCCAGCGCATATAAAAGTTATGTTTAAACGATAGTCCATGAAGTGTGCAAAAGCATTATGTCTAAAAGTATGTATATAGATTAATTTAAAAATTAAATTTCTAAAAAAAGCTAACAATCCTATGAGTGCTCAGCAAGTCATCATCTTTTTGCTGGTATAGGATCTTGCCTCAATGTTGAGGGCTGCTGAGTGATCTGGGTGGTAGTTGATGAAGACTGAGTGGCTGTGGCAGTTTCTCAAAATGAGAAAACAACGAAGTTTGCTCCGTCAACTGATACTTGCTTTCACAAAAGATTTCTCTTTATCATCCTGTTTGGCAGCATTCTATCCACAGCAGAACTTCTTTCAAAGTTAGTCTCAGTCCTCTCAACCCTGCCACTGGTTTATCAATTAAGCTTCTGTAATATTCTAAATCCTTTGCTGTCATTTCAAGAATGTTCACAGCATCTTCACCAGGAATAGATTCCCTCTCAAGAAATCACTTTCTTTGCATTTATAAGAAGCAATTCCTCCTCCATTTAAGTTTCATCATGAGGTTGCAGCAATTCAGTCACATCTTCACTTCTAGTTCTCTTGCGCTTTCCACATCAGCAGTGACTTCCTCCACTTAAGTCTTGGGCCCCTAAAAGTCATCCATGAGGACTGAAAACAACTTCTGGCAAATTTCTGTAAATGCTGATATTTTTACCTTCTCTCATGAATCACAAATGCTTGTAATGGCATTCGGAATGGTGAATCCTTTCCAGAAAGTTTTCAACTGACTTTGCCCAGATCTATCAGAGGAATGACTACCTATGAACCACTACAGCCTTATGAAATGTTATTTATTAAATAAGATTTGAAAGCAAGAACTACTCCTTAATCATGGGTTGCAGAATGAGTATTGTGTTTGCAGGCATTAAAACCAACATTACTCTCCTTATACAACTCCATCAGAGCTCCTAGATGACCAGATGCATTGTCAATGAGTAGTCATATTTTGAAAAGATTTTCTTTTTCTGAGCAGTAAGTCTCAACAGCAGGCTTCAAATATTCAGTAAATGATGTTGTAAACAGATGTACTGTCATTCAGGCTTTGCTGTTCCCTTTTTAGAGCACAGGCAGAGTAGATTTAGCAAAAGGGCCCTAGGATTTTTAGAATGGTTAATGAACACTGGCTTTATCTTGAAGTCACCAGCTGCATTAGTCCCTAACAATAATCAGCCTGCCTTTGAAGCCTTGAAGCCAAGCATTGACTTCTGTCTGAGAAAGTCCTAGATGTTATCTTCTTTTAATAGGAGGCTATTTCATGTACATTAAAAACTTGTTGTCTGGTGTGGCCACCTTCATTAATTACCCTAGCTAGATCTTCCAGATAACTTGCTACAACTTCTACATCAGCACTTGCTGCTTCACCTGGCACTTTTATTTTATGGAGACGGCTTCATCCCTTAAATTTCACGAACCAATCTCTGCTGGCTTTCAACTTTTCTTCTGCAGCTTCCTCACCTCCCTCAACCTTCACAGAATATGAGACAGTTACATTCTTGCTCTAGATTAGGCTTAGGTTTCAGCGAATGTGGGGGTTTGATTTTTTATCCAAGCCACTAGAACCTTCTCCGTATCAGTAATAAGGCTGTTTTGCTTTCTTATCATTTGTGTGCTCACTGGAGTAGCACTTTTAATTTTCTTCAGTAACTTTTCCTTTGGATTTACAACTTAGCTAACTAATTTGGATCAAGAGTCATAGCTTTCAGCCCGTCTTAGCTTTTGGCAGGCCTTCCTCACTATGCTTAATCATTTCCAGTTGTTTATTTAAAGTTAAAGACATGTGACTCTTCCTGTCACTTGAACACGCAGAGGCCACTGTAGGCTTATTATTGGCCTAATTTCAATATTGTGTTTCAGGGAATAGGAAGGACCGAGAGGGAGAGATGGGGAAAACACAGACATTTATCAATGACGTTCACTGTCTTATATGGGTGTGCTTTGTGGTGCCCGAAAACAATCATGATAGTAACATCAAAGGTCACTGATTACAAGTCACCATAAGATAGATAATAATAATCAAAAAGTTTGAAATATAGGGAGAATTACCAAAATGTGAGAGACATGAAGTGAGCACATGATGTTGGGAAAATGACTTTGTCCATGCAGGACTGACACAAACCTTCCATCTGTTAAAGAAAGAAAGAAAGAAAGAAAACAAAATTAGTATCTGCAAAGTACAATACAGAGAAGTGCAATAAAATGAGGCTTGCCCTGTGGCTCCTCAAAGATTGAGAAGTATTCACCCTAAAAAAAAAAACTAATGAAATTTATCTTGAGAACACGCATTTGCAAGTAGAAAAGCAGATCTGGCTTAAAGCTTCAGAATCAGTACTTTACCCCAGACTTGATAAGAAATCCACAAAGTTACTCTGACCTCTCAATCCGTCAAGGTTAAGCCGTTTAGCCTCTGTGTCATTATAAACTCTCCAGAACATGGGGGAAATTTTAAAGCAGAAATCCTTCTCTTCTCCACTTATCCCCATCTCCAAAAAACCTTAGAGCTGGTTAAATTAGAAGTTAACAGTATTTTATATGCTTTATTCAAAAAATGAACATCAAATTATCTTCTGATTTGCAACATTTAGTACAATCACATTGAAAATGTCTAATTTAAACTGAAGGATGAAGATGTTTATTCTACCCAGGTCAACCTAATTATTTCTGAAATGTCAGGTTAAGCCAAAGTCCACAAGGGGAGGCAGCATAGCACAAGGGTAAAGGACAGTGGCTCAAGTCAGACAGCCAGAGTCTGCAGCTCCCACTACTTCAACTTGCACAAGTCAACCACTCTGTACCTCAATTTTCCCATCTGTAAATTGGAAATAATGCCTCTCTCCCTCACCGGATTCTTATTAAACAATGGAGTAAAGTACCTTAGCAGTGCTCAATAAACGTTTGGAGCAAGTATCATTATTGTACTTCAACATTCAGCTCTAGGTTCTCATGTTACCAAGTCGATTTCTTGTTTGTTGATGGAACTTACATATTGCATTAGATAAGGGAGGTAAGGGTAGGCAAACTTTCTCCACAAAGGGCAAGACAGTCATAGTTTTGGACTTGCTGGCCAGATGGTACCACTGATGCAGCTATTCAAATCTGCCATTGTAGCACAAAAGTGGTCAGAGATGACATGAAAACAAATGAGAATGGTAGCTCTTTCCAAAACTTTAGAGAAACTAAAATTCAATTTCATGTAATTTTTATATTATACAAAATATTATTTAAAACCATTAAAAATATAAAAACCATACTTAGTAGGCCATACAAAAATAGGTAGCAGGCCAGATTTTGCCCATGGGTGGTGGTCTGCTGATCCCTGCTCTAGATTAACAAATTTATGGGCTATAGAAGCTTTGTGGGACAGGGACGCTTGAAATACAGGTTGGTGGTGCAGAAGAAAGAGGAAATTTTTAATAGAAAAAAGATTTAATGCTGTCCTCCATTTATCAACATTGTATTCGACTATGTGCAAAACATTTTTGCTGCTGGAATCAAAGATTCAGAAGTGACAGTTTCTGCTCTCTTACACTTCTCCATGATACCTCAGAAATGGCAAGTCTTCCTTCAAAGTACAGTACACCCGTGTGTGCTCATCTGTGAGGCAGGTAGCTTCTTTGGCACCTCTACCTAAAGCTGAGGACAAGCAAGCATTATTTATCCTGATCACATGTGCTTCTTCCCCTCTCCAGTAATCAATCCTACTACCAGTTTTTCTCCTGGTCTCCAAATTATTTGTTTTGAATTATCATTTTGGGGATAATACTTGGGATGATATACTAAAAGTCAACTTGTCCCATCTTTTTAAAAATTACCATTTTAATTAGTCCTCAGAGATACCCTCTCTCTTTTAATAGGTAACATGCTTGTGACTCCTGTGGCTTTTTTTCTGTTTCAATCCAGGCAGAAACTTGTCCCTAGGAGGCAGGATAAACAGATCTATCTCAAGGCAAAAAAGACAAATCACAAAAACATTTTTTCAGAGCAAATGTTAAATATTCGATCCAAAAGAACACAAAAAAATAAAAACAAAATATAGTGCTCTATTATATACTTCAGTTTGTTATAAAGATTGTGGATTTGAAAAAATCAGCAGAATCCTACTATGTCAGTGTCAGAGCAAGTGAAGCATAGAATAAAAATTAACATAGCTAATAATTATGAAAACAAGGATTGTTTGTAAATTCTAAGTAACTATTAATAAAAAGTAACAAAAATAGAATATACTAATCTTGTCTTGGTGTGGATACCAGAAAGACATCCGTCTCATGTGTTTCCTTGTAAAAAAATTATACTATTTGTCTGTTAAAGACAACACAATAAAAGTCAGAGTAAAAAGTAGTACTCTTGATGTTTAATATCATCTTATCAGCAAAATCCCTAATCAAATTGTAAGGGAGGACAGAGACTCAATAGGGTAATTAAAGGTACAGAAAAAAGAATGGGAGAAGATGGCACTGTAGGACCAACTCAGGATTGCAGCTCCCAGTGAATCTGCAGATGGTGAGTGGACTCCACATTTCCAGATAAATCTTTATTGTCCACAGACCAGGAGCCAGCCTGGCTGTTTGACCGGTGTGGCTGTTTGGGCCAGGGCCTCAGCGCAGCGGCACTCCGTACAAAGTACACTGATTTGGTTGCCCTGTTAAACTGGCAATTGGAGATTTCGGAAGGCAGATTAGCACATTCATCTGATTAAATGGGACTTAAACAGAAAGCCAGGCCAGGAGATTCCCGGGCAGCAATGTGATTCCAGCCGGCGGAGTGGGTTGCTGCACAAGAAATCACACAGATCCCAGCGCCCTTTCAGCAGGTGACTGGAACACCTGAGAGAGAGTCAACCATTCAACTTAAAAAAAAAAAAGGGCTCTGAGGCAGGGAGCCAGGTGATTACGCTCGGCGGGTTCCACCCCCACAAAAAACAAACAAACCAGCAATTGGAAATGCTCAGGGTTGAGAGTTTCATGGAAAGCACAGCTGAACCTAGGATGGTGCAGCTCGGAGAGGGAGGGGCGTCCACCATTACCGAGGCACTTGACCCTACGGAGGTACACTGCCATTGCTGAGCAGCCTGTCGTTGCTGAGGCAACCTGCCATAACAGAGAGAGTCCGCCATAACAGAGAGAGTCCACCACTACAGAGGCAGGCCATCATCACCACGGCAGCTCTAACCACACCCATATAAATAGGATTACAGGGAATTACACACGGCAGCAGGGCGGAGCCCACGGCAACAGGGTGGAGCCCACGGCAGCTCAGCATAGCCACTACAGGCAAGCAGTGATTTGACTGCCTCCTTGCTGAGCAGGACAGTGTAACAGATACTCATAAATAAAGCCCTAACTCCCCGGGACAGAGCACCTGAGGAAAAAAAAGGGGCTTTATGAGTTCTTCTGCAGCAGACTTAAATGTACCTGCCTAGCAGCCCTGAATGAACAACGAAGCTCACAGCTCAGCACTTGAGCTCCTATGAAGTACAGACTGTCTCCTCAAGTATAAACTACAGATAGTCTCCTCAAGCAGCTCCCTGACCCCCATATATCCAAAGAGTCACCTCACAAAGGACTGATCAGACTGACATTTGGCAGGCACCATTCAGGGACAAAGATAGCAGAACGACAAACAGGTAGCAACCCTCAGAGTTCCACAGCTGCTACAGGTGTACCCCAGGCAAGCAGGGCCTGGAGTGGACCTCAGCAGTCCTACAGCAGAGGGGCCAGACTGTTCGAAGGAAAACTAAGAAACAGAAATACTTCATCATCAACAATCTGGACGTCCACTCAGAGACCCAATCGGAAAATCAGTAACTACTCAGACGACAGGTGGATGAATCCACAAAGATGGGAAGAAACCAGTGCAAGAAGGAGGAAAACAACCGAAACCAGAACACCTCACATCCTACAAGGGACCACAACTCCTCACCAGCAAGGGAACAAACCTGGACGGAGAATGAGTGTGATGAAATGACAGAATCAGACTTTAGAAGGTGGGTAATGAGAAACTTCCGTGAGCTAAAAGAACATGTTCTAACTCAATGCAAAGAAACTAAGAACCTTGAAAAAAGATTTGAGGAAATGATAACAAGAATGGACAACTTAGAGAGGAATATGAGTAAATTGAAGGAGCTGAAAAACACAACACGAGAGCTTCGCAAAGCATGTACAAGTCTCAACAGCTGAATTGACCAAGCAGAAAAAAGGATATCAGAAGTCGAAGATCAATTCAATGAAATAAAACAAGAAACCAAGATTAGAGAAAAAAGCGTAAAAAGGAATGAACAAAGTCTACAAGAAATGTGGGACTATGTGAAGAGACCTAATCTACATTTGATAGGTGTACCTGAATGTGACAAAGAGAATGAATCCAAGCTGGAAAATACTCTTCAGAATATTATCCAGGAAAATTTTCCCAAACTAGCAAGTCAGGCCAATACTCAAGTCCAGAAAATACAGAGACCACCACAAAGATATTCCGCAAGAAGAGCAACCCCAAGGCACATAATGGTCAGATTCGCCAGGGTTGAAATGAAGGAGAAAATGCTAAGGGCAGCCAGAGAAAAAGGTCGGGTCACCAACAAAGGGAAGCCCATCAGACTCACAGCAGATCTCTCGGCAGAAACTCTACAAGACAGAAGAGAGTGGGGGCCAATATTCAACATCCTTAAAGAAAAGAACTTTCAACCCAGAATTTCATATCCAGCCAAACTGAGCTTCAGAAGTGAAGGAAAAATAAAATCCTTTGCGAACAAGCAAGTACTCAGAGATTTTTGTCACCACAAGGCCTGCTTTATAAGAGCTCCTGAAAGAGGCACTACACATAGAAAGGAACAACCAATATCAGCCATTCCAAAAACATACCAAATGCTAAAGAGCATCAACAAAATGAATTATCTGCATCAACTAATGGGCAAAACAGTCAGCTAGCATCAAAACAGCAGTATCAAATTCACACATAACAATATTAACCCTAAATGTAAACGGGGTAAATGCACCAATCAAAAGACACAGACTGGCAAATTGGATAAAAAGCCAAAACCCATCGGTGTGCTGTATCCAGGAAACCCATCTCACATGCAAGGATACACAAAGGCTCAAAATAAAGGGATGGAGGAAGATTTACCAAGCAAATGGAGAGCAAAAAAAAGCAGGAGTTGCAATTCTCGTCTCTGATAAAATAGACTTTAAAGCAACAAAGATCAAAAGAGACAAAGGACATTACATAATGGTAAAAGGATCAATACAACAAGAAGAGCTAACGATCCTAAACATATATGGACCCAATACAGGAGCACCCAGATATATAAGGCAAGTTCTTAATGACTTACAAAGAGACTTAGACTCCCACACAATAATATTGGGAGACTTTAACACTCCACTGTTAATACTAGACAGATCAACCAGACAGAAAATTAACAAGGATATCCAGGACTTGAACTCAGACCTGGAACAAGCAAACCTGATAGACATTTACAGAACTCTCCACCCCAAATCCACAGAATATACATTCTTCTCAGCACCACATCAAACCTACTCTAAAACTGACCACATAATTGGAAGTAGATCACTCCTCAGCAAATGCAAAACAACTAAAATCATAACAGTCTCTCAGACCATAGTGCAATCAAGTTAGAACTCAGAATTCAGAAACTAACTAAGAACCGCACAGCTTCATGGAAACTGAACAACTGGCTCTTGAATGTTGGCTGGATAAACAATGAAATGAAGGCAGAAATAAAGAAGTTCTTCGAAACCAACGAGAACGAAGACACAACATACCAGAATATCTGGGACACATTTAAAGCAGTCTCTAGAGGTAAACATATAGCTATAAGTGCCCACATGAGAGGAGTGGAGAGATCCAAATTGACACCCTAACATCAAAATTGAAAGAGCTGGAGGAGCAAGATCAAAAAAACTCAAAACCTAGCAGAAGGCAAGAAATAACTAAGATCAGAGCAGAACTGAAGGAGATAAAGACATGAAAAACCCTTCAAAAATCAATAAATCCAAGAGCTGGTTGTTTGAAAAGACAGACCACTAGCCAGATTAATAGGAAAAAAAAAAGAGGGCCGGGCGCGGTGGCTCAAGCCTGTAATCCCAGCACTTTGGGAGGCCGAGGCGGGTGGATCACGAGGTCAAGAGATCGAGACCATCCTGGTCAACACGGTGAAACCCCGTCTCTACTAAAAATACAAAAAATTAGCCGGGCATGGTGGTGCGTGCCTGTAATCCCAGCTGCTCAGGAGGCTGAGGCAGGAGAATTGCCTGAACTCAGGAGGCGGAGGTTGCAGTGAGCCGAGATCGCGCCATTGCACTCCAGCCTGGGTAACAAGAGCGAAATTCTGTCTAAAAAAAAAAAAAAAAGAGAGAGAATAACCAAATAGATGCAATAAAAAACGATAGAGGGGAAATCACCACAGATCCCACAGAAATTCAAACCATCACCAGAGAATATTACAAACAACTCTATGCACATAAACTAGTAAACCTGGAAGAAATGGATAAATTCCTGGACACTTGTGTCCTCCCAAGCCTAAACCAGGAGGAAGTAGAAACTATGAATAGACCAATAACAAGGTCTGAAGTTGAGGCAGCAATTAAGAGCCTACCACACAAAAGAAGCCCAGGTCCAGATGGGTTCACAGCCGAATTCTACCAGGCACACAAAGAGGAACTGTTACCATTCCTTCTGAAACTATTCCAAATAATCCAAAAAGAGGGAATCCTTCCCAAATCATTTTATGAGACCAACATCATCCTGAAACCAAAACCCAGCAGAGACTCAACAAGAAAAGAAAACTTCAGGCCAATATCCATGATGAACATAGACGCAAAAATCTTCAATAAAATACTGGCAAGCCGATTGCAACAGCACATCAAAAAGCTTATCCACCATGATCAAGTAGGATTCATCCCGGGGATGCAAGGCTGGTTTCAACACACACAAGTCTATAAATGTAATTCACCACATAAACAGAACCAAAAACAAAAACCACATGATTATCTCAATTGATGCAGAGAAGGTCTTTGACAAAATTCAACAGCCCTTTATGCTAAAAACCCTCAATAAACTCGGTATTGATGAAACGTATCTCAAAATAATAAAAGCTATTTATGACAAACCAACAGCCAATACCATACCGAATGGGCAAAAACTGGAAGCATTCCCTTTGAAATCTGGCACTAGACAAGAATGCCCTCTCTCATCACTCCTATTCAATATAGTACTGGAAGTTCTAGCCAGAGCAATCAGGCAAGAAAAAGAAATAAACGGTATTCAAATAGAAAAGGAGGCGGCCAAATTGTCTCTATTTGCAGACAACATGATAGTATATCTAGAAGACCCCATCGTCTCAGCCCAAAATCTCCTGAAACTGATAAGCAACTTCAGCAAAGTGTCAGGATATAAAATCAATGTGCAAAAATCACAAGCATTCTTATACACCAATAATAGACTTAAAGAGAGTCAATTCAAGAACGAACTGACATTCACAATTGCTACAAAGAGAATAAAATACCTAGGAATACAATTAACAAGGAACGTAAGGGACCTCTTCAAGGAGAACTACAAACCACTGCTCAATGAAATAAGAGAGGACACAAACAGATGGAGAAACATTCCATGTTCATGGTTAGGAAAAATCAATATCATGAAAATGGCCATACTGCCCAAAGTAATTTACAGACTCAACGCTATCCCCATCAAGCTACCATTGACTTTCTTCACAGAACTGGAAAAAACCACCTTGAACTTCATATGGAACCAAAAGAGAGCCCACATAGCCAAGTCAATTCTAAGCAAAAAGACACAGCAGGAGGCATCACACTACTGAACTTCAAACTATACTACAAGGCTACAGTAATTGAAACAGCATGGTACTGGTACCAAAACAGAGATATAGACCCATGGAACAGAACAGAGGCATTGGAGGCAACACAACATATCTACAACCATACAATCTTTGATAAACTTGACAAAAACAAGCAATGGGGAAAGGATTCCCTGTTTAATAAATAGTGTTGGGAAAACTGGCTAGCCATGTGCAGAAAGCAGAAACTGGACCCCTTCCTGACACCTTACACTAAAATTAACTCCAGATGGATTAAAGACTTAAACATAAGACCTGGCACCATAAAAACCCTAGAAGAAAATCTAGGCAAAACCATTCAGGACATAGGAGTAGGCAAGGACTTCAAGACCAAAACACCAAAAGCATTGGCAACAAAAGCCAAAATAGACAAATGGGACCTAATCAAACTCCACAGCTTCTGCATGGCAAAAGAAACAGTCACTAGAGTGAATCGGCAACCAACAGAATGGGAAAAAATTTTTGCAGTTTACCCATTTGACAAAGGGCTGATATCCAGAATTTACAAAGAACTCAAACAGATTTACAAGAAAAAAAACAAACGAGCCCATTCAAAAATGGGCAAAGGATATGAACAGACACTTCACAAAAGAAGACATACATGAGGCCAACAAACATATGAAAAAATGCTCATCGTCACTGGTCATCAGAGAAATGCAAATCAAAACTACCTTGAGATACCATCTCACGCCAGTTAGAATGGCGATCATTAAAAAATTTGGAGACAACAGATGCTGGAGAGGATGTGGAGAAATAGGAACACTTTTACACTGCTGGTGGGAGTGTAAATTAGTCCAACCATTGTGGAAGACAGTGTGGCGATTCCTCAAGGACCTAGAAATAGAAATTCCATTTGACCCAGCAATCCCATTACTGGGTATATATCTAAAGGACTATAAATCGTTCTGCTATAAGGACACATGCACACGAATGTTCACTGCAGCACTGTTTACAATAGCAAAGACCTGGAACCAACCCAAATGCCCATCGATGATAGACTGGACTGGGAAAATGTGGCACATATACACCATGGAATATTATGCCGCCATCAAAAACAATGAGTTCGTGTCCTTTGTAGGGACATGGATGGATCTGGAGAACATCATTCTCAGCAAACTGACACAAGAACAGAAAATGAAATACCGTATATTCTTATTCATAGGTGGGTGATGAACAATGAGAACACATGGACACAGGGAGGGGAGCACTACACACTGGGGTCTATTGGGGGAAATAGGGGAGGGACAGCCGGGGCGGGGAAGCTGGGGAGGGATAGCATGGGGAGAAATGCCAGATGTGGGTGAAGGGGAGGAATACAGCAAATCACACTGCCACGTGTGTATCTATGCAACTATCTTGCATGTTCTGCACATGTACCCCAAAACCTAAAATGCAATAAAATAAAATTAAATTAAAATTAAAAAAAAAAGAGTAATTAAAATGGGTCGACAGTAAAATCTATGGTTGAGCCAAAAGGGTACCAAGGCCAGGCACAGTGGCTCATGTCTAATGCAAGCACTTTGGGTGGTAGAAACGGGCAAATCAGTTGAGATGAGGAGTTCAAGATCAGCCTGGTCAACATGGTGAAATCCCATCTCTATTAAAAATACAAAAATCTGATGGCTTGCGCCTATAATCCCACCTACTCAGTAGGCTGAGGCAAGAGGATCGCCTGAGCTAGGAGGCAGAGGTTGCAGTGAGCCAAGATCACACTACTGTACTCCAGCTTGGCAGATGAGCAAAAACTGTGTCAAACCACAACAATAGGGTACTGAGAGCTTGTAATGTTGAAGGTCTTAAAGGAGTACAACATGAACTTGTTAGTACTTGGCAAAAATAAAAACAGGCAAAGAAATTAGCAGATAGACCTAAAAAAACCCCACCAATCTAGTGATTTCCTTGCCATCCTCAGATTTTCCAATTGCAGTTTCAGCTATTCATGTGCAACTATGGAGGTACATGAGAGGCAATTATAGTTCTGCTAGAGCATGGATTTGAATCCCACAGCAGGGTGGTTATACAGAAAAAAAATCACCTAAAGAGTGTGTCTAGATCTCTTGCCATCTGTGATTTGCTATTTTCTACTCCTTTGTCCTTTGCCCTGGCACAGTTAAGGATTTGTAGGAAATTCTTTAAGACTTTTAGTAACACTTTACAGTTTATCATACCGTGCCATCTGGGATTCACAACATCTCAGCATACATCCCTCTTGTCCTAAGAGTTAACTGTATAAACTTAAAGTGCTTGGATTTCCTTATTTTACTATAATCTGTAACAGTTTATCTAGGAACATCACACACTCATGCCTTCTGTTATTTACACATTATTCTTTATGATATTGATTATATGACTACTGCTCAAAAGCAGAAATTTATTGGTTTAAGAAATCTGCCCTATGCAGAGAATTCCCATGCTAAGAAAAATGTCTACTTTCCTGCTTTTCTCCTATATATCAGGTTTGGAAACCTCTGAGAAAATTCATTTGGTTATAATATATACATCTTTAAAACAAAGCAGCACCACAATTTTTATTAAAAGGTAAAAGGCAAGAAGCAATTCAATGAAATTGTTCCCTTGAAAGCTACAGGGAGAAAAATTCAATTTTGAAAATACATGGGTTTAGCCTCTAGATAAAGAGTTTTACTTTATTAACTCAAAATGCACATTTTAGATTTTAGAATTAGTTAAGAACTACTCAATATTTAGCAGCCATTATGTAAAATCAGAAAAACAAGTATTTTATTAACTCCATTGGTGGCCAATGAAGTTTTGAAATAACAAAAACATAATATATGGTAGAAAGTATATTTTATTAACCTCATTGACGATACTGAATACAAATGCAAAATTAGGTGGTGACCCTTAATTTTTAGTCTATTTCAAAACATGGTCCCTCAAATTTAAGAATTAAGGAATATATAAGTCAAAAAAGGAAGGAGAACCAAACAACCAAATTGTAAAAGACCCCAGTGATTTATTTATGTATTATGAAGGTTGAGCTACAGCCTTTATGATATTCCTTTTAGTGTTTTCTTCTGAGTTTTCATTAATTTCTTTAGTAACTGAATTTTTAACAAGACCCTATAATCTATCACGATTCTTCCAATTATGAACTGAAAAGAAACATAGACAGATACGTATGCCAAGTATCTTAGGAAATTCACAGCATACATGGTGAAATTTTCATATAAACTTTTAAAATTAAAAGGACTATAATAGTTTTGAAATCCAAAGGCTAGATAAGACCTACCTTCCAATAATTTCTGCATTTTATGATTTCATCTAGTGATGGTAATAAAGAAATATATTCTATATTTTAACATCAGTAAGATATGACATTCAAAAGAACAGCCAATAAGATTTTGCATTTTAAAACCAAAGAGAATACATCTTGAACACCTTAAATTATAAAATTCTGTTCTAAGCAGGAACTGTTACTGGGTAACAAATACTGCTCATATCAAAAGTGCTGGTGACAAAGAATTCAGAATGCCCTCCCACAAAACATGTTCACGTACATATATCCTTATCGCCTGTAATAAGATTTTAAATGTTTTAAGGTGCTTAAAGTTTGCACTACAGGACTAATTCAATGAGTATTCATCTGCTGCCTCTTCATAGCAACTTCAATTGGAATGATCCACAGACAAAACTGATGTTACTTTCTAAAATGCGGCATTTGTGGAGGTGGAGTGCCCTCTATTGGTGAGGAGGAGGACACACTCATTAGCTGTCCTGCATGCATTTTCTCATTGATTCGGAGTTCACATCCATCCTGAAGCATTCGAACTGCTATTCGGGCGATGTTCTTAGAGTCATCAAGACCACAGTGAGGCCGCCCATCATAATCCATTCCTAATTTTTCAAGCATTATTGCCAGTTTGGTTTGGCTTCTAGGAACCTGAAAAATAAACAGCTTAGTAAATATTTCTTTGGTGTTCTAAACTGTAATACATAAGCCACAGATAAGCTGAAAAATAAGAAGCTAAAAATTAGCAATAATAGCTAAATAAAGCTAGGCAAAGGGCAATATCCCTGGTCAAATAAGGCAAATAAAAAAACTCAGGTCGGGCAAGGAGGCCCTGTAAATCTCAGCACTTTGAGAGGCTGAGGTGGGCAGATCACTTGAGGTCAGGAGTCTGAGACCAGCCTGGCCAACATGGTGAAACCCATCTCTCCTTAAAATACAGAAAAATTAGCCGGGCATGGTGGTGTATGTCTGTAATCCCATCTACTTGGGAGGCCGAGACAGGAGAACTGCCTGAACCTGGGAAGCAGAGGCTACAGTGAGCTGAGATCACTCCACTGCACTCCAGCCTGGATAGCAGAGTAAAACTCCATCTCCAAAAAAAGAAAACAAGCCTCAAATGTTCAGAGCTTTAAAATGTGATCTTAGAGTTTTAGTTAAAAATACAGACAGAATCCTCAGACATCTAAAACATCTGTAGTTTTGGGATTTGAAAATCATTTATTAAAGGGAATGTATTGTTCGGGACATGTAAGTTGAAGATCCACCTTTTTAATCCAAATTAGTTACTTGATATGGTAATTTTCTATAGTGCATTACTTTACTTGACTGATTTCTTGGATAAAAGATTAGCCTTTTTGGATGGCTAAAGATAATGAAGATCAAGAATGAAAGATGATGTCATGTGATATTTTTCAAATTATTTAAAATCCTGTTCCTTGATAATTAGAAAAAAAAAAACTCACACTCTCCAAATTCCAATATGCACCTCTACTTTTGAGAATTATTGGCAGCTGGGTGCAGTGGCTCACACCTGTAATCTCAGCACTTTGGGAGGCTGAGGCAGGTGGATCACAAAGTCAGGAGATTGAGACTCATCCTGGCTCACGTGGCAAAACCCCGTCTCTACTAAAAAAAAAAAAAAAAAATTAGCCAGGCATGGTGACACGTGCCTGTACTTCCAGCTACTTGGGAGGCTGAGGCAAGAGAATTGCTTGAACCTGGGAGGTAGAGGTTACAGTGAGCCCAGATCATGCCATTGCACTCCAGCCTGGGCAACAGAGCGAGACTCCATCTCAAAAAAAAAAAAAAAAGGAAGAATTATTGGCTGGGCATGGTAGCTCACGTCTGTAATCCCAGCACTCTAGGAGGCTGAGGCAGGTAAATCACCTGAGGTCAGAAGTTCGAGACCAGCCTGGCCAACATGGTGAAACCCCATCTCTACTCAAAATACAAAAGTTAGCTAAGTATGGTGGCATGTGCCTGTAATCCCAGCTACTCCGGAGGCTGAGGCAGAATTGCTTGAACCTGGGAGGCGGAGGTTGCAGTGAGCCAAGACCACGCCACTGTACTCCAGTGTGAGTGAGGAGACTCCATCTCAAAAAAAAAAAAAAAAAATTATTATTATTGTTACATTTTCTTCATGAAATGTCTATCAAGATTTGTTACGTTTTAAATTCTGTAGTTTGTACAACTATTTTGCCTGTGCATCTTGGACCTCAGCTTTTTCATCTGTAAAATGGGACTAATGACTGACTGTACAATTTACTCATAGGGTTACTGGGATAATCACAAGCAAATGATGTAAACATCCATAGTTATCTTAAGCTGTAATACTGCAATATATCTTGTACCTTCCACTAATTATCACTTGGAAAATGCACTTCTAAAAATAACTTTTCCAATACACTGGCTAACTTATGTGGAAGAGACAAATTCCTGAAAATACACAATTCACCAGGAACTGAATTATAAAGAAACAGAAAATCTGAATAGACCTTCACCTAAGAAGGAGACTGTATCAGTAACCGACAACCTCTAACAAAGAAGAGTTCTGAACCAGATAGCTTCACTGCTCAATTCTAGCAAATATTTAAAGAATTAGGACCAAGCCTCCTCAAAGTACTACAAATAATTGAAGAAATACTTTTCAAATCATTCCATAAGGTCAGCATCACTTTGATACAAAAGCCTGACAAAGACCTCATGAGAAAAGAAAATTACAGATCAATATCCCCCATGAATATCATGCTGCAATAATCTGTGACAAAATGTAAGCAAACTTAAATCAGCAGCATATTAAAAGAATTATATGCCATGACCAAGTAGGATTTTATCCTGAAATGCAAGGATGGCTCAACATTTAAAAACCAATGTTAAACCCATTAAAAGGAATGAAGGAGAAAACCCACATGACCATCTCAATTGACACTGAAAAAGGCATTTAATAAAATTCAATGTCGTTTCATGATAAAAACATTCAACAAACTAATACAGGGAAAATACATCAACATAATAAAGGCCACATATGAAAAACCCACAACTAATATCATACTCAAGGGTAAAAGACTAAAAGCTTTTCATCTGAGATCAGGAATGAGACAAGGTGCCCACATTCACCACCTCTCTTCAACATAGTATTAGAATATCTAACCAAAACAATTAGGCAAGAAAAATAAAAAAGCATCCAAAAGAAAAGAAGTAACATTACCTCTCTTTGCAGGTGACATGATCTTACATGCAGAAAATCCTAAAGATTCCACCAAAAAGTTATTAAAACTAATAAACCAATCCAGCAAAGTTGCAGGATACAAAACAACACAAAAAAATTGACTGTGTTTCTATACAAAATGAACAATCCAAAATGGAAATAGCATCAATAAAATAAAATACTTAGGAATAAACTTAACCAAGGAGGTGAAAGACTTGTATGCTGAAAACTTCAAAATGTTGCTGAAAAACTAAAGGAGGGATGAAAAAATGGAAAGACATCCAATGTTCATGGACTAAACTTCGTATTAAGATATCAATACTATCCAAAGCAATCTACAGATTCAGTGCAACGTGTACATAGCAAAAAAAACACAATTTTTTTCAGAAATAGCAAATTCCATCCTAAAATTCTTAGAAAATCTTCAAGAGACCCTGAATAACAAAAGAACCTTGAAGAAAACAACAAAGTCAGAGATCTCACACATTTTGATTTCAAAATGTATTACAAAGCTATTGTAATTCAGAGTGGTATTACTATAAAGATAGACATATAAACTAATGAAACAGAGTAGAGTCTAGAAATAAACCTTCACAAATATATTGAATCAATGGGGAAAACAACAGCCTTTTCAACAAATGGTGCTGTGAAAACTGAATATCCATGTGCAAAAGAATGAAGTTGGACCCTTATTTTATACCATATACCAAAATTAACTCAAAGTTGATTGAAGACCTAAATGTAAGACATAAAATTATAAAACTTAGAAGTAAACATATGGAAAAAGCTTTATGACATGGATAATAATTTCTTGGATTACCAAAACACAGGCAACAAAAGAAAAAATAGACTTTATCAACATTAAAAACCTTATTACTAACATTATCAGCAGAGTGAAATGGCAATCTGTGGAAGAGAAGATACATTGCAAGCATATATCTGATAAGCAATTAATATTCAGAATAAAAAATTTCTACAACTCAAAACATCAAGGTACCTCAATCAGTAAATGAGCAAAGAATCTGAATAAACATTTCTTGATATGCCAATGACTAATAATCACATGAAAAGATGTTCAACATTACTAATCATTAGGGAAAAACAAAACCACAATGATACCACTTCACAGCCATTAGAATGTTCATAAACACACACATGCGCGCACGCACACACACACACACACCCACACACCAGAAAATAACAAGCATTGACAGAAATGTGAAGAATGTGGAAAGTTGTACATTGCTGGTGGCAATGTAAAATGGTATAGCCACTATGGGAAACAATGTGGAGATTCCTCAAAAAAATTAAACAAAGAATTAGCACATGATCCAGCAATTCCTATTCTGGTTATATAGTCAAAAGTATACAGTATTTGTACACCCATGTTTGTAATAGCACTATTCATAGTAATTGCCAAAATATGGAAGTAACTTAAGTGTCCATCAAAAGATCAATGGATTAAAAAAAAAAAAACATGGTATATTGAGAGGCCGAGGCGAGTGGATCACTAGGTCAAGAGATCAAGACCATCCTGGTCAACATGGTGAAACCCCATCTCTACTAAAAATACAAAGTAGCTGGGCATGGTTGCGCAGGCTGTAGCCCCAGTTACTTGGGAGGCTGAGGTAGGAGAATTGCTTGAACCCAGGAGGCAGAAGTTGCAGTGAGTTCAGATCGCACCATTGCACTCTAGCCTGGGTAACAAGGGCGAAACGCCGTCTCAAAAAAAAAAAGAAAACATGGTACAGGTTAAATATTCCTTGTCTGATTTGCTTGGGACAAGAAGTGCTTTGAATTTGAAATTTTTTTGGATTTTGAAATATTAAATATTTGTATTACACCAGTTTTGCATCCCTAATCTGAATATCCAAAACCTGAAATGCTCCAGTGAGCATTTCCTTTGAGCACGATGTCAGTGTTCAAAAATTTTCAGATTTTGGAGCGTTGCAGATATTGAATTTTTGGTTTAGGTATACTCACTCCATAATACATACAATGAATTATTATTCCACCTCAGAAAGATGGAATTCTGGCAGATGATACAACATGGATGAACTTTGAAGATATTATGCTCAGTGAAAAACGTCAGTCACAAAAGGTCAAATACTGTATGCTTCCACTTATAAGAGGTATATAGGTAAGTCAAGATAGAGACAGAAAGAAGAATGATGATTGCCAGGGGTTGGCAGGAGGGAAGTTCAATAGGCACAGAGTTTCAGTTTTAGAATATAAGGGTTCTGGAGAAGAATGTGGTGATCGTTGTGCAATGATGTGAATGTACTTAATGCCACTGAACTGTTGTGCACTGAAAAATGACTGAGAGCATTTTTAAGTGAACAAGTGTTATACAGGGTGAGCATCCCTAATCCCCAAAACCCAAAATCTGAAATGTCCGAAAATCTGAAACTTTGTGAGCACCAACAAAATGTCCCAAGTGGAA